CCTTCCAACTAATAGTTAAATTTGAATGAAGAGTTACCCGACCTTAGAGGCAGAATTGTTTAGTGTGCAGTTTTTCACCAGGCCCTGCCCACTGCCCCTGCTGAATATATTAATGAAGAACAATGGACTATTTAATGAGAGCTCTTTGGTAGTCCTTCCAGCTCTTCCTAGAGCCATCACCGAAAAAGTCACTTACATTTTCTGGGTTTTGTTTTCCAGTTCTAACAATATGAGCCAGGGAAAGGGGGTGAGCCGAAGAGGTGCATTATATCTCTAAAGGTGCCTAAAAATGATCAATGTTTTACATACACACACACACACACACACACACACACACTCACACACATACAAATGTTTAGACACTCCACTTTCTGTATTTGAAACATCAGGATCTCCCAGACTGAAGAGTCGGGCCATCTGGTTAAGTTCTGCTTGTTAGTAAACAGTCAGGACAAACTCATATCTGTCTGAAGAACCAAATCATTGTTTTAAATGTCCCATTTCTTAGCTTTTAAAGGTTGGCTAAAAATAGCTAAATAAGTCTCATACCAAAATTAAGAAAGTTGGTGAAGAAAATTAAGGTACATACGTCTGTCTTAAATGATAAAATCGAATTATTTGGGCCTATTATTTCTTCCTTGTGAATCAGCTAGTGCATGCAGGAATACATATGTATAAACCCATATTAGTTGCTGAACATTTTCCTCACTATGTAAGGCTTAAATTAGAGACATTATGTATTAATCTATATTTTTGTTTTCACTCTCAGACAATTCACAGTGTAATATCTTTTTAAAACAAACCTAAAAGTATGAAATACTAAGATTTCATTATCACACAGCATTTTCAAAAATCTTTTGTTGTTACTGGTTTTAAGTGGTAAAATGATGAGGTAATTTTTAAAAAGCAAATGGAGGCGGGGGGGGCTGTTATAGACATCTGACATTAAGTCCTGAATTTATCTTCCAAAGTGTAAGATAGGGAGATGGTTGCAAATACCACCTTTTGGTCAGGTGCAATAACTACAATTATAAACTGCTGATTTGTGCACTGAGGCTAAACAATACTGACTCTATTACTAGCCAAGTGTGGTTAGAGGAGTGACTACTGATGGATTCTGGGGGATGAGCTTTTATTTTTGGTTGTCTACCAACTGGTAATTCCACTAGGCTTCATTGTACAGTTCCATACTCATGGTCTGACAGATGGCCCTGACTAAACTCAGTGGGTGACAAAATAAAACTATAAGGCATGGATTTGAGAGGGGACTTGGAAATTGAGTGTTGATAATATAAGAAGTATGTGGAGAAACTAATTAGAATATACTGTATACATGTACAAAACTATCCAAAAAATATCTTAATTAACAAAACACAGTGAAGGTTGATAGCAGAGGATATCTAGCCTTGACCTCTGGCCTCCACACACATACAAACACACATATACTACATATACATGTTCTCTCACACACATATACTAACATATAGTCACATATACTAACATACAGTCACTCAAATACACACTGAAAAGTAACTATTTGCACATTTAAACTGTAAAAACATGACATTTAAATAAAAAATTTCAATTTATTCAAGATTATATTCCAAATTAATAAAACTTACCGCTAAAAGTATGTGAAGCTTTTTATAAAAATACCAAAATAAGTTATGCTATTATAAAAACTAGTAACTTAGAATTTGGGAAAGTGCTTTGCCCTTATTTTATTTTGTGTGTTTTAAAGAAACATGTTTTTTTTTTCTGCTTCTGTTTTGTTAGAAAAAAATTAACTAGGTTACAGCTCAAACTCTGCCTTCTGAAATTATAAAAATAAATGAGAACAGATTAAGTTATTAAATTGATGGTTTCTCTAAGAAAGGCATTTTGGCACACATTTGGTTCACTCAGTTCATGTGCTTTGCTGGAGTTGAAAACATTCCCATGGCAGTTTCTAGGGCTTCGTGCTCATTGCAGGTTAGACATAAATGTGAGCTTGCTGCTTTGTATAGAGATACCTTCACCTCACAGCATGGCCTGGATCTGATTCTCTAAGCACCTCCACAGCTATTTGTAATTCACTTTACCCAAGAGTTTTCTTCTGCAAAATCTTCCTGTAAGACTTTGGAAACCTATCCCAGAGAACTCTTGCTCTTAAAGTTAACTAGTTTTCATGCATTATGACTTTCTTTAGGCGTCAATGCAACTTGACATCCAAATTTTTAAAAGTTTGACTGAAATCAAATACGTCTACATTCTAACAGATGTTTTGCCTCCTCTTTCTGCTACTCTCCCTCAACTTCACCCTCCTTCCTCCTCCTCGTTCTCCTCCATCTTCCCTATCTTTTGTAAATCTTGAACTCACCTATGTGCTTACACCTCAAAGTGTAAGTAACTAAAAAGACATACTCTGCAATTACTCATTCGTACTAGTACACCAGCAGGCTTTGTTGAGGAGCCAAATAGTGAGGCATTTTAGGAGGTTTGGTTTTTGTTCTTTTGCTTTTGTCTCCCTCTGTGTTAGCCAGTTCTCCGTAACCTAGTAACCCCTGCCCCTGAAATGACATTTTGTGAAGAAAACAGTCATTCCCAGTTGCAGCTGTACAATCTGGGGCAACAGTCACGACTTTATTTCCTTCTTTTTGCTGTCTTTCTCAGCATTTCTTCCCTTTGATTTCTTGTTTATTCAAAATTCATCCAACAAAATGTATTTTTAATCAAAAATAAATTTAGCTTACTGCCATAAGGATTCTGCCTCATCTAATGTAAACATTTGGCAAGTGCTCTTCCTGCTCTTAACTGGATTAAATATTAATGAAGTCAATTTAATTCTAGAAGTGATTATTAGGTTAGTCAGTTTCAAAGTTGAAAAGGCTTGGGGAAATCAGGATATAGCATTGAAATTAAGGGTACAAATTACAAAATGAAAAGTAAAATAATATGAAATGATTTTAGAGGTATACAACAAAATCTTGAGGGACTGAAAGAAATTGTCTCAGAAATGGCAGCTTTCAAAGGGCTGAAATAGAGTAGAGAGGCATTTCAGGTGTGGGGATCAATGCGACCAAATTTCAATGGGAAGATCAAGGCAACCTGTCAGCTATTTGTTATCATTACAGGAAAATTCTACAGGCATTACAATGGTGCATTTTATTAAGCCTCCTATGTGACTATTTCTGATCTAACGCATTATAGATATCCAAATAAAGATGGCTTCTAGTTCATTTTATGCATTTCAAAAGGACATTACAAAGAGTTGGTGTTACTTGTCCAATATTCTCAACACAGTAGAGCAGGGGTTTTAACTTTGAACCATCGGAATTCAAAATCTGTATCAAGTGTAGGATAGAAACCATATACACTTCTTTAGAGTATGTTTTGCATATTTTTGAATGTCCTAACAAACAATATGCATTTAATTAGAAAGAAAAGGAAACATGGGTCACTTCCTTAAATAAACAGAAACTTGCAGGGAGAAACCTAGAGACAGACTTCATTCAAATAAATAATTACACATAATAATAGGATGGGTACTGATGAGTGTGCTATGGAGGGACAGAAACTGGGGAAGGAGAATGGTAATGCTGTGGCTGGTGGAATGGGTTTTTGTAATTTTAAACAGAAAAGTATTTCTCCTCAGGTTAAAAAAAATGATGAGACTGCATAATTTACCCTGAAGTCTTATGACACAAGGTATCTTAAATGAAGACCTGCAAGAGAGGATGTTGATGGCTTCAGCTGGTGACCCAGAGTCCTGACCTCAGCCATCTGCCAGTTTACTCCTCAGAATCTATTTTATTTTCTTTGTTTGGGAAAAAAATCAGTTGAATAAGTAGCTAAGGGTATGTGTAGAGTATTTCCTTTTATCTAATTGGAAAGTACTGAGATGACTTCAGACTGTCTGCTAGAACCAGTGGCAGAGAGTTTGCATTCTGTCTCCAAAGGGATGGCAATCACTTTGCGTTGGAGTATTCTGATGACTGAAGGCGTCAGAATTCACTGCCCTTGTGAGATAGCAATAAGAAAACAATGATAAAAAGTACCTTGGCTTGGGTAATTATATACTTGTCATTTCTCAGAGAAGAAAAGACAAGCTGGCAGCATCATTTTATCTGTGATTTGCCCTCACTGTGCTATGGGGATGGAATGGGATGGATTTGTAACTTAGAGCATTTTGAAAGGTTTTTTGTTTTTGTTTTTTGTTTTTTGTTTTGTTTTGTTTTTTTTTTTTTTTTTTGAGTTCCTTTTCTGCTAGGAAACAGTTATGGGTTTCACCATGTATCAAACAATGCATCTTGAGTGTTTTAATGGTATCATTTCAACTCCATGAACATAAGAGCTACACACTGTATCATATTCATTTTCTTGGAGAAGAAAGAATGCTTAGAAAAATGGATGAAACAGTCAAAGCCAGTTCAGCAGCAGAGTGGAACAGAGTTCCCTGCCCTTAACCTTTGCTGGTAACTTTCTACTCATGTTCTAGGCCACAGACTGACCTTAATCCAGTTGGCAGCTGGCACTCTGGGAAAAAATTAGAAGTGTTTAAGAAGGTAGATGGGATGAGGGAGAAAGAAACAAGCAATAAAGTTTCAATAATGAAAAATATTTGTGAATTGTTTCTTGCCAAGATAGATCATCTGTGTACCAAAATAATAGACTTACCTCTCCAGTAAGCAAGTGAAATGTTGAGGATAATATATGTTGAACTATAAAAATCCTAGATAGAGTATCATTAGTACTTAAAGGAAAGTGAAGAAACATAAAACTCAGAAGACAACTCAGAATACATGCTTTTAAAGAAGGGTTCAGCAGTGTTTTCTGTTAATTGTGTGTTAAGCCTTATGCTAAATACTTCAAGGAAAATATGAGTATACATAAATTGCATCTTAATTTTTATTAAAATTTATAAAGTTAAACAACATGTACAAGTTTAATTATATAGGAAAACAATTTGCATTATCATTAAAATTCTAATAGTCTAAGAAAATTTCCCCCGTCAGCTTCGCCTATGAAATCACACAGCCTCCTTTGAGCTCCTTGAAGGGATTTTTGTCCTCTGGGATCCCCTTCACTAGGGGATCCTCCCCAGATCTTTCTTCAACATAATCCCTTACTTCTTCACAACATTTGGAAACCTAAGAGGAAGGAGACAGAGATAACTCATTTGCTCTTAAACAGAACTCTGCAGACTCCAGAACTGTGTTTATTACAATATATTTCTGTGTTGTATCTTTTTAAAGTATGATTCCATCTGTTTTCTGTCAGTGCACAAGTACTATCCAGGATAGAAAAAAATGATTCCCAACCTTCCCTTCTAGATGTCTATGGAGGCTGAAAAGCTGTGCCTTCAGTTAATCATCCCAACTGGACTCTGCTTCTAGCTTTGCAAATGAACAGAAGACCCAGGGTCTGAGCCCAACTGGAATAACAAATGAGTAATTTCTCCAAGGAAAATCTTCCCTCTCTTCCTAAAAGTGGGATATAAAGATGGAAGAGAATGAGTGGTTGTTAAATTTATGGCATGTTTTTCGTGTTGGATCCTCAGAAGCATAGACATGTAGCTTTAAATCAACTGCAATGAGTGTTCCTTGCAGAGTATGGCATGTGTTTTAAGAGGTCAGTGACTTTGGCCATTTTGTTCAGTAGATCCCAGGCATCTAGAAGAGAAGCCACACTTAACTGATGCTCAATAAGCAAATGTGTGCTGAACTGAATAGTGGTTTGTTTGTAAGGTTGTTTCTCATTTAGTTACACCTTCATAGTTATGATTTAGAAAACAACTAGTCTTTAGGGATTATACATACATACATATATATGTAATGCACGTGAAAGTATATATTCAATGGCTAAAATCAGAAACTTATGCTGGAGAGGATGTAGGCAGAGAGAACAGTCATTCACTGCTGGTGGGAGTGAAACTTGCACAGCCATTTTGGAGATCAGTGTGGTGGTTCCTTAGAAAAATGGGAATCAGTCTACCACAGGACCTAGCAATTCCACTCTTGGGCATATATTCAAATGATCCATATCCATGCAACAAGAACATCTGTTCAACTATGTTCATAGCAGCATTATTTATAATAACAAGAATCTGGAAGTAACCTAGATGCCCCTCAACTGAAGAATGGATAAAGAGGATGTGGCACATGTTAGGAGTAGTTTATAAATGTTTGCTTTCATTTAAATGGACTTGATTATTGGTTAATGATCACAACCATTTCTTTTAAAGGTAAAAAGGGGAATATGGTATAGATATGAATACTTTGTTTTGGAATGGATTTTCATTTATTGATACAAATTTAAGGTCAATCTTGTGATAAGTATATTTCTCCTTTTTTTAGGTATTGTGTTTATATAGCTCATTTAGAAATGTAATGTATAATGCAGTACATATTATAGATAATTACCTATGATAGTCAAAGCTTAGAGTTAAGTTAGTTAGGTTTTCAAGATACACAGAGATGTATTTGAGATAGATAGATACAAAAACCTACAGAATATGGCATTTAAAATGGTTTAGGGTTTTTCTTGACAGTGAGACAAAACTGTTCCTGGCAATACCACCTGCATCAAAAAAAGGAAGATGGACATCAAAGAGACTCATTATGGAGTTTGCTTCCAATATGGCAAGACTAGCCATTTGAACAAAAAACTACACTTGTCTGGACTGTTTGACTTTATGCTATATAAACTGGATATGCAGGACCCACAGGGAAGTGACTGCTGATATAAGATGGACATTACTATAGAGTTCCTGCTTCATGAGTCTGCCAGACAGTATGAAGGAAACAGAGAAAAATGACTGACAAACTGCCACTACAGATGGACAGTTTAAAGTTTCCTGCTTTGTTGAGGAGTCTGCAGACACACTATGGCCTATGGGCTGAAGATGGAACATTACAGAAGAACTTTGGGTGACTGACCAGGCAGTGAGTTGTCTCTGCCATTTCTAGAATTTATATATTACCTTTCTGTGGTCTTTGAAGGAGTTGAAGACAGATAGTTATGGTTATAGTTTTCCTTAATTAGGATTAAAAATAAATTACATGTAAGACTTTAGATTCACAAAGATAGGATAGATGAGAAAATATTTTCTTTAAATCTTGCTAAATGTTAATAGACTAACTATTGTTAACTGTGATTCTTATTTGATAACTGTTCTGTATTTTGGTATGCTAAGGTTAAAACCCTTCTTTTCATTTTAGACAGAAAGGAGGAGATGATGGGAGATGTCATTCTGTAAATATGTTTCTCATACTGGTTAATGAATAAAGCACTGTTGGCCAATAGGAAAGCAAGATAGGTGGGACTAGGAGACAAGGAGGATTCAAGGAAGTAGTAAGGAGGAGTCAAGATGGAGAGACTGGAGAGAACAGAGGGCGGCCCCACTCTCAGGTAAGATGAGATCACACGGAAACACTTAGAATAATAGAAAAGGGTTAATACTTAAGACAGATAAACAAGTAACTGGCCAACAGTGTTATATCTAATACAGAGTCTCTATGTGTTAACTGGGGCTGGTGCCACGGTGGGTCCAGGCCAGCAGGAAAAACCTTACTCGTTATAGGCACATCTACACAATGGAATACTACTCAGCTGAAAAAAACAAAACAAAATAACAAAAAAAAAAAAAAAAAAAAAAAAAAAAACAATGGAATCTTGAAATTCACAGGCAAATGGATGGAACTTCAAGAAACCATCCTCAGTGAGGTAACCCAGTCACAAAAAGAGGAATTTGGTTTGTACTCACACATATATGGATTTTAGACATAGAGCAAAGGATCACCAGCCTATAATTCACACCGCAAGAGAAACTAGGATACAAGGCAGAACCTAAGAGATTTGTACAAGGTGCCTCATACAAGAAGAAAGAAACAAGATCCCCTGAACATATTAGGAGAGGGAGGGGTCAGTGAGTGGACAGGGAGTTAGAAGAAAGAGAAGAGGAGGGGAAGAGAACATGTGGGACTAGGAAGATTGAGTCAGGGGATGAATAGATGAGAACAGAAAAAAGAGATACCATAATAGAGGGAGCCATTATAGATTTGAAGAGAAAATTGACTCTACAGAAATGTCCAGAGACTTACAAGGATAACCCCAACTAACAATCTGAGCAACAGTGGAGAGGCTACCTTAAATGTTCTTCCCTGATAATGAGATTGATGACTATCTTATCTACCATCACAGAGCCCTCATCTACTACCTGATGGAAACAGAAGCAGACATAGACAGCTAAACACTGAGCCAAACTCCTGGAATCCAGTTGCAGAAAGGGAGGAGTGGTAAGAAAACAGGTCAAGACAAGGCTACAGAAATCCATAGAAACAGCTGACCTGAACAAAAGGAAGCTCATGGATCCCCAGACTGATAGCTGGGAAACCAGCATTAGATCCAATCAGACCCCTTGAACGTGGGTCTCAGTTAGAAGGCCCTCTAAGGTCTAAGGGACCTCTGACAGTGGAACCAGGATGTATCCCTGATGCACAAAAGGATTTTGGGAGCACATTCCCCATGGAGGGATACTCCCTTAGCCTAGAGACAGGAGGGAGGGCCTAGTCCCTACTCCAAATAACTTGACAGATTTTGTTGATCCCTCCTGGAATGCATCACCTTCCTTGTGGAGTGGGGGGAAGTGGGACAGGAGGAGACTTGGGAAAACAACAACAACAACAAAAAAGTATATATTCAAAATAATTTAAATTATGTATGGCTTTTAATGTCAATTTGTTTTATTGTGAATTGATGCCTCTTATGACAGTAACATAGATCTACTTGATTTGTGACAATGCAGTGATCATTTCACATATTATGTAAATAATTTAGTGGGTTTTTTCAATAAAATGTTATGCCATAAACATATACACATACATGTGCATTTACATACATATGTAAATATTTACAACTGGTCATATATGATCTCTAAAACCTATATCTTAAATCTTTATGCCACAATCTGATGATGCAAGGAGAAGAAGCCTTTGAAGGCTACTTTCACCCTGAGGATTCCTCATGGTCAGGATTAGCATCATGTTGAAAGTCACTGGAACACTCCCTCACTTTTCTCAACATGCAAGGACACACTGAAATGACAAGTACTACCTAGGAATAAGGAGGCAGGCTAGGATACAACACAGTTCCAAGACTGTAGAAATTAAAATGATTTGCCATTTGGGTAAAGCCATGCAATCTGTGCTGTTCTCTTACAACAGCCTAGATAGACTAAAACATGTGGACGGGAAATGTGTATGTATGTGCGTGTGTGTGTGTGTGTGTGTGTGTGTGTGTGTGTGAGTGCATGTGTGCATATGTGTGTTTTATGTATGTGCATGTATGTGTGTGTATGTGTGTGTGTATGTATGAGTGTGGTGTGTGTATGTATGAGTGTATGTGTGTGTGAGTGTGTGTGTGTGTATATATGTGTGCATTTATGTGTGTGTGTGTATGTGTATGGTATGTATGTGCATGTGTGGATATGCATGTGTGTGTGTGTGTGTGTGTGTGTGTGTGTGTGTGTGTGTATAAATTTCAGCAGAAAAAAAAATAACAACCTATACTGGAGAAGGAAAGAGAAGAGATGGAAGGGAAAAGAGGAAGAAAGAGAAGATAGTGAGTTTTACAGTATAATATTGTTACTTAAACTTCCAAAAGCAAGAATGTTCAGAGTATTGGGAAAAGGTGGGTGGTAGTATATACCATGTTTACCCCAAATAAAAGCTCCAAGATGACCAACACACCAGAAAACAACCAAATTGCTGACCAAAGGATGCTCAGGGGCTTGTGAGTAAGATAAGGGCTTTAGCCTGTCTGCTGTGTGTTCTATTGTGCTCATTACAGATTTGACTTTATCATTACACCAAAACGGCTTTTGTCTGTATGGAAAGTATAAGGGAGCCATTGCAGAAAATTATGAAAGAACTAAAATCTTAAATTATTTGCTTAGGAGTATGGTTTGAGCAATATAATTTCCTTCTTTCACATATACTATATATACGATATGATATGCTGTTATAACTTATGGAGGAGTTTTTGTTCTATTAACTCTTATAAATTATGTTGCTTAACATGTGTCTATGGTTCTAGAGATTCAGTCAATGTTTGATGACAGCTTTATGGTCCGTTTTTCTTTCTATTCTATTTAATGCAGAGACTCTGGGTCACTATTCTCAAGACCTATCTGATGCTTTTAGGAAAAGCCAATGAGTTCTTTTGGCTGAAATCATCTTTATTTGCAAAAGAATAATAGAACATACTTATTTCCTACTGAACAGAACAGGGATGGAGAGAATGAGGTCATACTTTAAAATATATCAACAGCATCAAAATACTGCATAAAATGAAAAGAAGCTCACCAACTCAAAGGAACAGAACCGAAATGCCTCAATGCCTTGCTCCACTTACATGCTTGATAAAACAGTCTCTGTCTCACATTCTCCTATATTTTAATCTTTTCTGTCTTCCTGTAAAAGTCTAGAAGGGCTACACTTTGTCCAGGGAAAATAGTTTCCATCCCCTTGACTTAGAGTATAACTCATGAGATAAATTCATGATTATGCTTATGAATTTGTCATCTCTGATTATGTTTGTCACAAACACTGTATTTGTAAGTATACTGAACTATTCCAGTACTTACTTCAGTGCATTAGGAACATTCAATGCTGTCTCCTCCAGCGAATTACAGAGAACACCCTCTTACCATCATTCTTTCCAGAGTGACCTCCTTCTTCAGCTGGTCTACTTCCATTTTCAGTTTGTCCTTTTCTGTCAGGTCCTCGATGTTAATCACTGGCATCTTCTGTCTGTTATGAAGGTGGGATGTTAGCACACACACCAAACCACTGAACCAGACACAGCTCACCACAGGGAACTCACCCCTCTGCACTTACCAGGGAAGCTGCTGCTGGTTTTCTTTCAAATTGCCTATGACAACCCGCTTTAGCAAACTCTCTCTCTGAACACTGTTCATGCTGCATGCTAGGCTTTGGATTTTAAAGTTCATAATCTTCCCTAATATGATTAAGCTAAGCATTTGTCTTTCAACACCTGCTGGTAGATTTGAGGGGAGGGATCCGTTCAGTCAGTGTATGATATAAAGGACTTAAAGCCCCTCCTTTCCTCTGGCCTCATGCACAGTATGCATTTCTGTATTTCCAACTCTTGACTCTAGTGTTAAAGCTGTCCTCCAACTAATCAATGCCTTTTAGTTCAGTCAGAGGTCATTCTAAGGACTACACATTAATCCTCAAATTGCTGGAGTATTTAATCTGGTATTAAAAGAGAACTATTTATAAAGAAATCCATTATAAATTTACCATAGAGGATGGATTAAAATGTGAACCAATGAAGCTGAGATACAGCAAATAAACTTATTTAGAAATAAGCTATTATACAATTTGGAAATTTCTTTCAACAATACCTGGGATTTACAGATAACTGCCACACTACATTGAACAGCAGTTTTTGTGCAGCTATAACCTGGCAAAGGCAACATATTGATTTTGTTATACCATGTGATCTGTGTGAGAAGAATGGACTCTTCTAACAGTCTTTCTACTATTTAGGCCCATGTATAATTGAGAAGGTAGTTTGGTGACTGTTGGCATGATCATAAAATTACTTAAAAAATGTTATAATACTCACATGACATTGTGTCTGTCCTCTGGTTTTCTCCTTTGCATCTATAATTCAATTTCCATATGGAAATGTTTTTGTGATAAGTGGATATATTCAGATCATATACTATTTCAGATCATATAACATTGTACATCTATAAGAAAACACTCTGTTAAGTATCATTCTTATAACTAATGTATTTCCCTATATTGATGTGGTATTTTCAGCCCTAAAACATTTGGGGAACCATCTTGTGCTTCGTAGTTTTACAATGTTGTGTACTTTTCTGAGAAGGAAGTCATTTATGTAAGTTTTAGTAAACTTTTCTGTGTATGTAGCACAGAGATGGAACAGAACAACCAGTGACCACTACCTGCGACCACTATTGCCTGTGGGGTTTGTTTTCTCATACTGTTCCTTAAAACATGATGTAACAATAAAGGATCACCTCTGTCTGATGGTTGTTTATCAGATGAGAGCCCGTCCTCAATTATATCCTCATCTTCCCTCTCTTCTCAGAGTGTCTGTAAAACTTCACATGTACTTCTATTACGTTTATGTGTTGACACTACTGTTTGCACAACTTTCTCCATGTTGGCTACAATGCTGCAGTATGATTAAGAAACACTTCAGTGTGCATTCTAACCATGGTCAATGGCTAAGGCTTCCACAACATAGGCTGTCCTTTATTAAAATAAGTTTGAAAAGAATTTTGAATTAGTGGACCTAGGATAGGTCTACCAATTGATTTTTACGGTTCCAGGAAGTTCTATCATATTACTAATAGCAAATGATCATCCTCTGGAACTTGCTAATTGTATGATTTTGACCAATTACTAAACATGTGGCTTGTTTACCTGGAAATATAGATAAGGACTATGTAATGACTTACATGATAGAATAAGTCTTCACTACATGTTATTCATGTACCTTTAAATTTTTAGACTGTTCTTTCTTATGTGGCACTATCTGCTAGAGAGCTCTATACACACTCTTAAATATACCACGTGCATATAATTTGGCTCCTTTAATACCATATATGTATTATTCCCAGCCAGATCTCCTTTCCTAGGTTGAGGTACTCATCCATCAATAGATGTATTAACTATTATGGACAGACCTTTGGCCCAAGTTGGTCCTTAGCTGTCAAAAACATGTTGCTTGGTCACACTTGGAAGATTATGTTCTTATCCATCTCCAAAGGCTATATCAGATACCTAGCTAACGTAGGGCCATAAGAACATGACACCCTTGTCTTGGCTGAAATCTTGATTGTAACTGATAAAAAAAATCCTAGAGTTCCAGAAACTTCAGGATGATGCTAGACTTATTTTGACTAACTTTTGTCCTTCCTACTTTCCTAACTCAATTAGAGGTTCCCCATGAGAGCTAACCCTTGACAAATCAATCAGCTGAACCAGAAGGAGCATCTGGGCTCTGTTTCTAGGAAGTTTGGTAGTTTAGTCCTGACAATTGCCTGTTATTCTGCATATTGTTTGCTAGATTGAAATCAAACATGCTGATAAAGTTATGACCCCATGTCATATTTACCTTCATTAGAAAAGCAAGCCAATTATTTAACATCATTTATAATGGGAGATTGCTCAACTCTGTTTAAGATTAAAATACTTTATTTTAGAGAAGGACAGCCTTTGAAAATGCTAGAAAGCTTGCAAACTGAAGTCCCTAGGTCTATCTGAAAAAACTCAGAGGCCATACAAAAAAATGAGGAATCACAATTTCAACCACCTGAAGGATGTTGAGACACACAATAAACAATTTATATGTGTGGGGGATGGAGTTTCAAATGTTTAGAGTTATGAGCATTCAAGGGATTCAGAAACAGCTGGAAAGATGGTTCAGTGGGTGAAACCACTTGTCACTAAGACTGACAACCTGATTTCAATCATTGGGACCTAAATATTAGGAGAGCATCTCCATACACGTTTTCACACTCACCCACCCCCCAAATAAACAAATGTAGTAATATTTAAAAAAAAATAAGTATATATTCTTTATGCACATATATATTCTTTAATTTTTTAACTATAGATTGGTCAGTGGATAGACAGACAGACAGACAGACAGACAGATAGACAGACAGACAGATAGATAGCATCCACATATAAAGATACAGTTTCTTCTACTTTATGCTCTGACCATCTTTGAAATGACACATGCTTTTCTAGAGTTCAAATGCCCATAATCATACAATGACAGGCTGCAAATCTGAGCTTCCAATATACATATTTTTCTTCTGGTCTGGGGTTTATTCTACTCCCACACACTTCTTTCAAATCAATATAAATACTTTGTTTGTTTACACTCAAGAATTACTTAAAAATACAGTTAGAAATTAGAAACAAGTAACACTAAATCCTTCCTTGTCTTTCGTGTTTTAAGGTTATGGCACATAAAGCCCAATAAGATAAGGTAATGGCTAAAGCTTACAGGGATGGGGATTGAGGACCACACCCCAGTTAAGAAGATGCTTTATCTTTCTCCTCTTCTCCCTCATGCTCCATGAGAGGATGCAAGAGAAGATGAAAAGGCAAAGCAGAAAGAAGCAAGGGGAGGGAAATGGTCAGAAGATCTACCACCTGTGGAGACTGGTTCTCAATGGAAGAACTCCTGCCCTCTAGAGGAGATATTTTCTAAGTAAATTTTTATTTAAATTAAAAATAATCTTATTATACATACCAATCACAGTTCCGTCCCCCTGCAGTCTTCCCATATCCCCCAGTAGCCCCCCATCCCACCCTCCATCTACTCCAATAAGGGATTATTAAAGTCTGACTCATCATTTGGAACAGGGCCTAGGCCCTACCCCAAGTGTCTAGTCTGAAATAGTATCCCTCCATGGAGTATGAACTCCCAAAGTCCATTTGTACATCAGGGATAAATACTAGTTCCACTGCCAGAGGCCCCATAGATTTCCCAGGCCTCCCTACTGACACAGGGGGTCTAGTCCCATGCTGGTTCCCCAACTGCCAGACTGGGGTCCATGAGCTCCCACTTGCTCAGGTCAGTTTTTTTCTGTGGGTTTCCCTAGTATGGTCTTGACCCCTTTGCTCAATACTCCTTCCTCCCTACAATCAGATTTCAGGAGTTTGACTCACTGCTTGGCTGTGAATCTCTACTTCTGCTTTCATTAGCTACTGGATGAAGGCTCTGTGATGGCATTTAAGGTGGTCATCAATCTCATTATCAGGGAAGGGCATTTAAAGTAGCCTCTACACTATTGCTTAGATTCTTAGTTGGAGTCATCCTTGTAGATCTCTGGACATTTCCCTAGTGCCAGATTTCTCTTTAAACCTATAATGGCTCCCTCTATTAAGGTATCACTTTTCTTGCTCTCCTTCTCTATTTTTCCCCCAAATAAATCTTCCTGATCCCTAATGGTCTCCTCCCCCCTTTTCCCTTCTTCTATCCCGCAACTCCATCCCCACTTCCTCTGTGCTCCCAATTTACTCAGGAAACCACAATGGTGGTTTCCCAGGCATATCTCCAAAGGATACACATTCATACCACAAGGACATCTATTCAACTATGTTCATAGCATCATTATTTGTAATAGCCAGATCCTGGATACAACCTAGATGCCCCTCAACCAAAGAATGGATAAACAAATGTGGTAGATTTACACAATGGAGTACTAGTCAGTGGGAGAAAAAAATGAAATCTTGAAATTCTTAAGCAAATGGATGGAGTGAGGCAGACACAGAAAGACAAACATGGTGTGTACTCACACATAAGTGGATATTTGACATAGGGCAAAGGATTACCAGCCTACAGTCCACAACCCCAAAATGCTGGGAAACAAGGAGGACCCTAATAGTCCCCCAGAGAAGGGGAAAGGAAGGACTTTTTTTTTTATTAAACCAATCTGAGTTTCACCAGTTTTTCCAACAAAAATATAAGTTGCATTTCTCACGACCCTGATATATAAAATGAACTACCCCACTTCCAGACTGACTACCAATAAAATGGCAAACAATAACATAGACAAAAACATTTATAATTATTTCAGTGGTGTATAATTTCATTTTATAAGTGAATATAAAAATATGTTATACATTATATACACTAAAGTTTACAATAATAAAAATATTTTCAAGGGAAAGAATTCAGTGGTACAAGGATGTTCTACTCTATTAGAAAATTGTAGCACCCATTACA